TTTCCCCAAGTGGCCCTCTTTAAAAAAAAAAATGGAGGTAACACTTTCATTCAAAAAGTCTTCCAGTATCTGGAGTCGCTCAGACATATTGAAGTGAGGCAGGAGAGTAAGTGAAATTTGAAATGATCCAGCTACAGTTTTCTTCCCCTCCCGCCCGAAGGCCATTATCTCCACGTCAAAACGAACGAGGGGAGGCAAAGAAGCCAAACACGCTAAAAAGGATCTCTTTATTTTCCTACACAAGGTCACACCTACTTTTCCGCATTCAAAGGACAACCTCTCCTCACCACCACCACACACACACACACCCCAATACCCGCAAACAATGTTCTGGGCATTAATCACCATTGCTACATTAACCTGGTAAATTTATACCCTGCCTCCCCCAGTGTTGCTTTGACGGCAGGATTTCACACAGCGGGGCGCTCGCTCGCTCTCTTCTCCGCTCTCCCACCGTTCGCACATGTTGGAAGCACTGTAAAACCTGATAACCCACCCGGGGGCTCCCCCATCCTTAACCTACAGCCGCGCGCGCACACACACACACCCATGCTTCAGAGATCTGGTTTCCAGAGATCAAAAAAAAAAAAAAAAAAAAAAAAAAAAAAAAGAGTCCTCCCGGCGTATAAGACGACCCCCCCACTTGGAGGCATGTTTTTCAGGGCAAAAAAGTCGTCTTATACGCCGGCAAATACGGTAAATGAGTATTCTGATTATTTTTCTATATAATTCAAACTTTAATCCAGCTTTCTCATCCCATTCTGGTAGCAAAATAAGAGTTGAGTCGTTCTTTTTTTTTTCCTTTGTTATCTTTTACCATTTTGTCATCAGCAAACATGAACCATCTAATTGCATGTTCTTCTTGTTTGGATCATCTTGAATAACTTAAAAAGTACTAGTTCCAATACTGAGGCTTGGTAGTTTCTCTCTTCTTTACACCATTCCCTTGCAAGAGCTGCCTCGTGTATTTTGTTCTCCTAACTAGAATATTCCTTCATAAGAGGAGTTTTCCTCATCTTAAAACTCTCCTTTTCCTCAGGATTTTTGGTAAGCCCTTTCATGAAAGAATCTTCAAATTTTAAGTAAACAATATTCATTTGTTTTATTTATATTCAGTATAGTACAGCATACTCAGTATAGTCATTTTTTAAACAGATCTGCTTGAGAGCTATAAAGAACTTGAGAATGTAAAGATAGCTCTTCAAAACTAGGCCAAAGACCTGTCTTTATTCAAGACTAATAGCAAGTAGAAACAGTAGACTGCTTAGTAATGGATCCCTGGACAGAGGTTGGACTAGATCAGAGGTGTCCAACCTTGGCAGCTTTAAGACCTGTGGACTTCAGCTCCCAGAATTCCTCAGCCAGTCATGTGGAGTTAAAGTCTTAAAGTTGCCAAGTTTGGACATCTGGACTATATGATCTCCAGAGTTTGTTCTATTTTGGATAGATTTGGCCTGTTGAATTTCCTTTTCAACCACATTCTTACCAAACCATTCTTTTCTAAAAAAAAAAAAAATCCTTTGCAGCTTTATATAACTATTGAACTTCTTTTTGTTTATTCTACTAATACATGATTTGAATAGCAGTAGCATTTAGACTTATATACTGCTTCATAGTGCTTTACAGCACTCTCTAAGCAGCTTACACAGTCAACATATTGCCCCCAATAGTCTGGGTCCTCATTTTATTAACCTTGGCAGAATGGAAGGCTGAGTCAACCTTGAGCCAAGTGAAGATCAAATTTCTGTCACTGAGAGTGCAGCTAGCCTGCAATACTGTATTCTAACCACTGAGCCCCCCTGGCTCTAAACTTATATTTACGCAGTTGCTTCTTTCCATTTGTTTCAAGAATATATCCAGCAGATCTTGTTTACTGTTTAGGATTAAATGCAAATTAGCATCCCATTGATTCAGTTTCATGACTTTGTGTTTAATCTTCTAGAGTTGTAGAATTTGTACCTCTTTATTTTGACAAGACTTGAATTTGGAAACTCATGTCAGGTTGCTACAGTAATTCAGTCGGAGAATCATTGATTTCAGTTATCCTCATATTAAATTGCTGGAATGATTTCTCCTTTAGATTCCTTCCTGATTTAAGTTTCCCCTTCAGGATCTTCTCTAGTACTACTGAATGAACGTGGATGCCAAGTATGGTTAGTTGCTGTGAGTCCCTTCCTTCTGCAATTTGACATTATGTTCTCTTGATTTACTGTACAATGTCCCACATTTATCATTGCTGCTTTCCCTATCCTGTCCTTTTGAAACTATATCTAGAAGTGATCCTGTTTCACTAGATTTCCAGTATACTACCATCATTACCTATAAGTTCCTGTATAAAACTGCCCCATCTTGCTTTGAAAACCAACAAATAAGTATATAAATATCTAATTCTGGTGTCTTCCCCAAACATCTTCAACAAATGCCTTTGGCTTTCTTGGACGTTACTTTCTATACAAATGAAGGCAAATATATGTGTCCCAGGACAATATTGCAGGATCCAATATGGGTAGGTCACCAGAACCAGAACTCCCTAGAGAAGTTCCCTGAAGATGGGCTCCCGCACAAATCCAAAAGTTCGGAAGGCAAAACTTCTGATGCTGATGACTTACCCAGATTGGATCCTACTTGTTTCTTATTTCCGTGTTTTCTCTATTTGGGCAATTAAAAATAGTTTCATCCTTCAATACTTGGGAGAGTGTAGTTTTATTTCAGGGGGTCACTTTAAAAACTTTATGCTGTCATCTGACTGTTCAGTAGCTGTGTGCCTGATATCTAATTCAAGAAATAAAGAGGCATTGGAGGAGAAGTTCCTCTTTCTTCACTAAACTGGTTGCTCTGGAGAAGATGGAAAATTAACAGGTTTTGAGAAGTTTCTTCTTGGAGCTTCAGTTGTTGTCTTTATGCATGGGAAAGATGCAATAGACATGATTTTAGTTCTGTCCTATTTGACCTGAGACCTTGTAAATACCAATAAAGGAGAATATTTGTAGTTCAGGGTTGAAATGAGGAGTCCTTGGTGCTCTCTGGGCTTGGTTGTTTTCTTGCAAGAAAACAACCAAACTCAGAGAGCACCAAGGACCCCCTCACCTTGTAATTAGTGGTGGCCTCAATGTGTGTTAGCAAAGGATTGCAACGTTTGTTTATTTTAATGTATTTGTTAGATTTATACAGTAGTCTGCCTTTCCTCCAGAAGACATATGTAGCATTCCCTCTTCCAGTTTTTTCCCCACAACAGCAACCCTGTGAGATAGGTTGAGCTGAGAGAAAATTATTGGTCCGGCTGAGTTTCTGGGGACAGGGGTGGCTATAAACTCACTAGGCCTTGTCTCATCAAAAATGTAATCCCTGCACTACACTGGTTGTCTCACAGATGCTGCTGCTTTTATACCAGTCATCCATCCATCCATCCCCTGTTCTGCCTTTCGGGCAGAATTTTGGTCTCAGGCCACAAAATATTTCTCATCCCATGCTCCCCAATTCTTTTTTTTTTTTTTTAATGAGAAGCATCAGGTCTTGACTTTGAGGGCTTCTACATGCCTTATAGAGTATATCTCTTCAGAGAGCAGACTTAAACCCAAGCCCAGAAGAGCCTTTTAAATCTCAGCTTTTATGTTAGGTATCCTTTTTAGAATTACGTTGTGTGTGTTTTCTCTTTCTTCTTCCCTTAATACCAGCTTGTAATAGAAAAAAGAAGACAGCAACAATGTTCATAGTTGTAGCCCGTATCAGATATGACTTTGAACCTGAAAGAGACCCTTTGGGACCCTTCCTATACAGCAGAGATGGAAACCTGCAGCATCTCCAAATGTAGCTCTTAGCCTCTCTGGTTATGATTGCTGAGAATCCACTAACATTTTGCAAATAAGAATTACCCGTAAACTGTAACTGTAACACAAGCCACATTTATTTATTATGTATTTTTATCCCACCTTTTATTACTTTATAAGTAACTCCTTCCTTCCTTCCTTTATTTTCCCCTTAACAACAACCCTGGGAAATGGGCTGAGAGGGAATGATTGGGCCCAAGTCTCCTCACCAGCTTGCTAGTCATGCCAAAAATGAGATTAGAACTCTCAATCTCCTAGTGTTTGGCCCAAAGTCACCCAGCTGGCTTTCATGGCTAGGGTGGGACTAGAACTCATAGTCTTCTGTTTCTAGGTCAGCACCTTAACCACTACACCAAATTGGCTCTTACAGCTAAAACAGCAAACATATACACAACATTGCCATCCAAGCCATGAGCCATCCTGTCCCAAATGTTAAGAGCACTCCAAATTGGCCTGATCCAAGATACATGGGCACTTGTTAGGGTTCTCTGTTACAAGAGACAAACATTGGGTTTTGCAGTTTTTTTAAATAGTTTGTTAAGTCTAATACAATTCAAAGTTATATTATGTAAAATGGTTATTTTATGGAATTATAGTGCAGAATCTTAACATAATTTCAACATTAAAAAAACCCCAGTAAGATTCAGAGGTAATAATGGAATTCTAGTATCAAGCAAGATATGTGGAAGAGTTTGAGGCCATAGAGGAAAATGAAATATTGGTAGGCAAGAGGGATCAAGTCAAAAAGATTCTAAAAGCCCATGCGAGACAGCATTTTGGTTTGATTCATTAGAGGGTGAAATGGACCAATGATACAAAAACGGGTCAGAAAGAGAGCATTAGATTACTTAGGTCATCTTTCAAGCGTTTGTTTTGGTGATAAGCGATAGAGGTTAGATTAAACTGAAAGCAGGTCCTGGGAACATGGGGGGAATGTTAATCGATACCTGGGTGGAGAAAAATGAGTAGAACTAGCAAAGAGAAAGGTTTCCTGACCACCCTCGACCTCTTCCCATCCCTAGGTCCTACTGATACAAGTCAGGTATGGAGGGTTGTGGGAGATGGATCTGTCCCCAAATGCTGCTGCTGCTGCTGCTGCTGCTACCGCTACCACCCTGAGCTTTTTCTTCTCTCTGTCTTGTTAACCAAGTCTCGTTTTGTTACTTTTTTTAGCTTGGCAATGAGGAGCAGCAGTTGGCGTGGGCCAAGCGGGAGAGTGAGAAGGCAGAGCAGGAAAGGCTGGCGCGATGGCGAAGACAAGAGCAGGAAGACCTGGAATTGGCCATTGCACTCAGTAAGGCCGACATGCCAACTTCTTAAAAGCAAGGGTGGCCATCAAGCAGACCTATTTCCCGGTACCTGTTCTAGATCCCTGATGTCCTTGGGCCATTTTCCTTTTTTTTTTTTTTTTGTTTCCCGTTTTTTTCTCATGACTTCCAGCTACCCGTGGGGCTGACTGTTGAGGAGCAAACTGCTATTGATGGGCTTGGCTTCACGGCGGTCTTTTCGTTTTGTTTTGTTTTTAAATTAAGTTAGACGTTCTAGGCTGAAAACGTTGCTTGTAAGAGAACTTGCAGCAGCCCCTTCCCACTGACTGCCAGATTTTGCTGCGCTGCAGAAAACAGTAGCATTAACGGAGCTGCCTCTCGAAACTTCATTTTTTGTGGAGTGTCAGCGCAGTCACGGAAGCTGCCACTCGCCTCTGGGAGAGAAGTGTGATCTTCATAAAGAGATTGATTGTTTTTATTCTGTAGTTAAGTCTCTTTTGATTTTTCTTCTGTTGGTCAGTGGCCTGAAATACAACTCGTCATCAGAGTTCCTTTCTTGTGCATTTTGTGCTTTGTCTTAAGAAAACAACTCCCTCTCCCTAGATATTTATAAATTAAGAGGGTAGACGTTCATCAAACCATAGGCTGGAAGCTCGGCTGATAGGATGCTTCTCCGTGAAAAAGCCTACCCTGTTTATAGAAAGCCAACTTGTCAGAGAGAGAGAAGAAGGTTCCAGCTGAGTTCTCTCCCGAGATGCTAGTAAGGGGAGAAGGCCAAAATTAAGCGACTCCTTATGCCTTTGATTAAATCGGTTGCGTAGAGTCCGTTACCTTCTGAGCCCAGATCTCTCTACAACCAAAAGTGCGCTTTGTTGAACAAGAAGTTTCGCTTCTAACCATAAACGCTTTGTTGTACAAACGAGAGCATCTTTTAACCAACACCAAATCATACTGAAACCAGGGGAAACTGTTGCGGCTAAGGGCAGGGCCGTTGTGTGTATGTTACCTGGAAAACAGATGAAAATATAATAATAATAATAATGATTTGGTATCTTCGGAACTGTGGCTGCCCTTGTGTGTGTTTGCCTGTCTTTCTGAAATGTGTTTTGTTGATGAGAGAGATGTGGCCCGGGGGGGGGGGGGGAGGGGGGGTGGGGGGGGGGGGGCAGGCCTTCAGTTAATAGGAAGAAATGCCAATGCAACAATTGGTGTTCAACCAACTGTGCACAACTGACTGCTTTCTTTGCAAATGGGACGCTTTCTTTTAACTTCACCCTTTCTGTTTTAGCCATTGGTCCTCCATGATTTAGGGAAGAGCCAGATGGGCCTTTATTCTGGGATTTGACTTCAGCTAACTTTCAGGGTTACTTGTGCACGTGCGTATGTATTTGGGCTTTGAGATTCCTTATAAAAGCAGAGAACGGGCAAGGAAATTGAAATATTGGGATTAAGCTGAAAGTTTGATTTATGGCTACTGTGTATAACCCCTACCTTGTTTTTATAAAGTAATCAGTTCTCAGTGGATCAGCTTATTCATCTCCTCATAGCCTTATTCAGAAAAATATTCCTGACTTTACAAAAAGAATCCCATGATTTATCTTGGGGATAGGCCATCTTCACTGGATTTTTCCACTGTAAACTACACTCTGCTTGCTTGGTCTTCCATTCTTGATTTCTTGTGCCCTACCTTCTGGGTTATGTTTCCTGGTTGCCTACTTGTGAGAGTAGTTGTCTTTATAGTTTTTGTTAGGATGGCATCTTCTCAAACCTGACAGATACAGCACACTCCCACAGCCCTTATTGAGATGATCCTGTGGTCGTCATTCCTATGGGACATTCCAAAAATGCTTTAATTCCCACCCCCCAACCTGAGTGAATATGTGGCATCCAAGCTTACTAGGATATTTGTAGAGAGGAACCACTGATGTGCCTTCATTTCCTTGACTCCCTTTATCTCACTGTGCATTCCTCTTTCTTGGATACACAGAGAATTAAGTCTCTTCTTCCAAGATGCCTCTCTGTCCTCCCCCCCCCCCCCCCGCCAAAAAAAAATCCTCCTGAAGCCACCTCTCAATACCATCTCAATTTTTCAGTTCTCTGTGCCTGAATAAAATTACTTTCTAGCACAGCTTGGTATCCTGCTTGGATTCATGCTGCAATTTCCTTTTGGGAACACTCTCTCTTTACTTCCATTCTTCATCTCCATTTCCCGTTTTCCCACCCTTGACATTAGTGGCAGGATTAAGCCTCTCCTTGCTACCCATTCCTGTAATCTGGGAAGATCCAGGACCAAACTATACGGATTGGAGAGCTCAAAAAATAAAGGTCCCAGAAAGATTTGATACCCTGCTTTTGCAAACTGATTGGCAATCCTGAACAACAGCCTTGGAACAAATGAGTTTGGGGCACAGTTACAGCAAGATTTAAGCCTCTTTGTTTAATCCATTAATAGTGTTGGCAATTCATTTAAATAGTCAGAATGTATGTAGAAATTTAAAGCTAACGCTGTAAGTCATGTTTGCCGCAAATCTTACTACGGAGATTTGTTCAGGAAAGCTCTTCAAAACAAATCTTGGTCATGTTCAGCAATATTTATGCAACCTAAGCATATTTCTAGACCCAAATGCAGACCCTCTGGTGCTCAGGCAAACCATTCTAGGTATTGAGAGGGTGCCATGAACCCTAACCACAGTGGCTTGGAGCCCCTTTTCTTTTACTAAGAAGTAAATAAAATATACTCGTAGATTTAAAAAAAAAACATGTATTATGTTGTATATAGTTTGCTTTGTATACATTTACTGTCTCTTAGCTCATCTATCATTACTCCATGTTACTTGGCTTTGGACATTGGATGTATTTATATATATACACACACAAACAGACTGGCAGATTTCCCATAGCTCTTATTATCACCTGCCTGTTATGGAATATAATTACATATTGTACATAAATAATGTATAGTTTGTGTGTATGTGTTGTGTATATTTAGTGTATAGATCTGGAAATAAACAATAGTTGTAGTTATAATTTCAAGGTCCTAGTACAAATGACATGTAACATGTCACACAAATTCAGCCAGATGCTTCTCAAAAGGGTCTAGGACAGAGGTCTCCAAACTCGGCAAATTAAGACTTGCCAAGTTTGGGAACCCCTGGTCTAGGACTATGGGTCACTGTGGCCAACTGACCATGGCCAACTCAACGCAGCCAACTCGCCACGACCAATACACCATGGGACAGGAGTTATACTAATATTGAATAAATGGTGGAATGGAATCATTAAAGAAAGGATGCAAAAGGAGGAACAGAATAAAATGTAAATGACAAAAATCAAAATAATTTTTAAATTATTTTAAATAATTAAATTGACTTGTTAAATTATTCCATGATGAGTTGGCTGTGGCGAGTTGTCCCATTCTGTTCTCAAAAACAGTTCAGATCTCTGTCTAATTTTGCATGGGCAACTAATATCCTGATTAATGTACTGAGCTGACAAGTCTAGAAATGCATATTTGATGAACATCTAAAAAATTTAAATCATGGCAACTGGACCAAAGTTTATTAAACTGAGACATTCTGTTACTCATCCAAGCAACTTCTTAGATGAACATAAATCTCCTTTTGGCCACTGCTGCAATAATATTCTTCATCTTTCCTTTATTTGTACATGAGGTGATTTTTCATTTCATTTTTTGTTAGCAAAAAATGGGGGCTTTGGGGGCTTGAGAGGAAGGGACTCACATCCAGAGATGAGAAATAATTAAAGGAATTCAAGAAGTAAGGATAGATAACTTCTCTCAGGAGTTCCTGGTGACCATTGACCTCCTAAATCTGAAGGAACGGTTAATACAATAGCAATTACAGTTGCAAAAAAAAAAAAAAAGCACTTTTCACTAGCAGCCTAGGCTATATCCTACATGCTGTTTTACATATACACATCATTTGGGGTTTAAATGGTTTTTAGAGCAGAGGAGCTGTTAAAGCACTACAGCTTGGCTAGTTCTTTGATTGGATTGCAAAAACAGGCAGAAATACACAGACACATCACTTGGGCCTTGCATTTTTGTAGCAGGGCAAGCTGCATATAAAACTCTGGACTTTTTTGTATCTACCCAAAGTTCCCCCAGATTGTGCTGCTGAAATTTGATGGCAAAATAGCCAGGTTTCTTTAGCACTAAAAAGTATTTTGCAAGTAAGTATATTAGACCCTTGCAAGATAAACTCTCAAAGTTCCTCAAAAACAGGCCGGTGTTTTTGAAGCCTGCCCTCAGTAACACTGCTATGTCACTATAGATGCTTCAGTGAGGACTGTGGTGAGATCAAGCAGGCAAATGCAGCCTCCCGGTTGCCCACCGTTGACTCACTTTTGCTTTTTATAGTAAATTCCTCATGATTCTTTGAGAACACGGTGTATTGCTGTTGTCATCTGGTTCAGCTACCCCCTACTTTGTTGGGGCGCTGTTTGTACCTCACAAGTAAGTTTAATTCTTGACTTTCTCTGAGTGTTCCTGCTTGCTGCTTCTTTGCTTTCTGTCAGCCAGCACACTTTTAAAAAAAAATGTGTGCATGTAAGAATTTCTGGCTTGGGAACAAATGCACGCACTCCTCATTCCTGCCTTTCATTCGGTGCTATAAGATTCCCCAGTTTCTGTTCTTGCTCTACTACTCAGTCCATCCTCTTTACAGACACATATTATCTATGCTAGAATAATTTGTTAATCCCATTGAGTCTGTAACACTTTTCATTCTTTAACTTGAAATGGGATTCTTTTCTACCAGTTTCCTACCTCTCTATCAAAGTTCATTTCGTCCCATAGAGGAGATGCAGTTTATCTTTGAATCAAGTGGATTTTTTTTTATGTCACTGTGGATTCTTTTTAAGCAAGCCCTAGATCAAGGACCTTCAAACTTGGCAAGTTTAAGACTTGTGGACTTCAACTCCCAGAATTCCTGAGCTAACATGACTGGAGGAGGAATTCTGGGAGTTAAAGTCCACAAGTCTTAAAACTGCCAAGTTTGAAGACCCCTGCCCTAAATGATAGAGATGCCTGCCTTCTAACATTTTTAGCTTCTCTTCAGGAGGGAAGGAAGGGCTTTCTGCCACTAATGACAACAGGGAAGATAAAAAGGTTGTTTCCTTTTGTCTTTTGTAATTCTCCTCCTCCCTTTCTGCTGTCCCAGAATGCAAAGGGTACATAGGTTTGTTTGTTTTTTTAAAGAGACAACAGCTAAACTTCATTCTAAGGTTCCAAAGCATCAACAAAGGTGAATCGGTAGAGAATTTCAAACATTTTGTCGATTTGGTGGGAGAGGAATTTATTAATGGAAGGAATACATTCAGGTGAGTTTGGAGTCTAAACCCTGCTCTTAGGCTCCATCCCTTGAATCTGGTAGGAAAGGGCAAACTTACAGATGCTGACTAATGTATATTCAAATATGTACATTGCTGTATCTCTATTTATTTTTGAAATTATCATATAAGAACATGGTGGAGTGGAAGAGAAGGTAGGATTGTTCTATGTTTATTGTTTAATATAAAAGAGGTGTTATTGTTCAATATAATAAATGTCAAAAAGTTAATTATTTTGGAGCATTTGAGACTCTGGGATGGCTTTCATTTTCATTTTTTTGGTCAGACCAGCTTTTGTTTTGGTTGATGTGGTTTTTTTATACGACCTAGGTTCTTCTTGTCTACTGACAGATACTCCCTTCTCGGCATAATTGTGCTAGATACAGCTTTCTGTAGAATTCAGCCAGAAGATTATTTTAGACGACCCTTCTCCATATAAAACAGACATAAATGTCTACCCCTGGAAGCAGTCCTAATTTGGTAGCAAGCAGGCATCTTTGTTGTTCAGTTGTGCAACTTCAGAATGTAGCTTAAATGTGTTAGAGAGGAGATCTCCAAAGGTTAAGGAAATAGGGGATGAGAAAAGCATCTTCTCTGAACGAAATTTTCCAAGATCAATGGGAAATTGCCAATTAGCTTTGAATATAGGACATGGATTATCTCTGATTGGTCCAACATTCTAGTTTTGCCTTTTAAATACCTATT